TAGTGTAATTGGGTCACAATGATACTAAATGGGCCATATTTTGTTTGTTCAGACCTTAATGGTTATCATGGGCTTATTTATCCTATTGAGTCTAATTGAGCCATGATGGTACTAAATGGTTCAAAATTAGTATAATCAGACGTTAATATGAGTAATTGAGGAAGAATGGGTACTAGCGGTCCTTAATAGGTTCAAATGGTGGCAGTGGATATAATGGGCATAATTCTCGTTAAAAAGTCCAATTGAGTCAAAATGACACCAACTAGGTCAAAATCAGTCCCATTAGACCCTGATGGTTTTAATGCGCCATTTCTTCGTAACGAGTCTAATTGGGTCAAAATGACACTAAATGGGTCATAGTTGTTGTAACGACATGTTAATATGACTATTTGAGGTAGAATGAGTCTTAAGTGTCCTTAATGGGTCCATCTACACTTATTGGGATATTGGTTCCTTGTAACAACCCCCAGTTTCCATAAACAGATAATCCACATACAAATTCTCATAATAGTAAAAATAGTATTATTACAAAACACGGACTACCAAAAAACATTCTTTAATACACTTATGAGTAAACAAATATCATTAACATTAAACTTTTCCCTTTCCTTTATCCTGCGAGGTATGATGACCTGCAAAACCGGGTAGTCCAACAACTGAGCGTTAGACCCAAAAGGTCTAGTGACTGTATATAACTCATACTAACAACATATTTTCTAAACTAGTAGTTTAGAATCAAACCTGTTTATCACAAACATTTTATCAATATCTATCACATATCTTTTCATCTCTCTCGTGATTACACCGCCATTTCATCTCTCTCGCGGTTACACTGCCATTTCATCTCTCTTGCGGTTACACCGCCATTTCATCTCTCATGCGGTTACACCGCCATTTCATCTCTCTCGCGGTTACACCGCCATTTCATCTCTCTCGCGGAATGTAACTTTAATCAATTTTAGTCGAATAAGGAATCCGTCATCACTGTCCGGATATCAAGTCTAGACAAAGACTTAGAACAAAACGTGACAATCCGGACACGGCTTGAATGATTTATCTCTAAACCGAACAACACTTGGGCGGTTTAAGAAAATATCCGGACAACACTTGAGCGGTTTAAGAATATACCGGTCAACACTTGGGCGGTTTAAGGAGATATCCAGACAACACTTGAGTGGTTTATGAATAAATCGGTCAACACTTGGGTGGTTAAAGGAGATATCCGGACAACACTTGAGCGGTTTAAGAATAAACCGGTCAACACTT